TGCACACACGCTCACCAGATTTTAGGTGAATGTAACGCCTATTTAGGAATTTGAAAATGGGGTTGGATCCATAAAACCCCTTTCGTATCCAATCTATAGGAATCCTTCACCTTCATTGTAGGCTCCACCATACAACCGTGAGTAGAAAAATATCTCAGATAGTGTTAAAATATTGCAAAATACCATTTTATGAATAAAATCAAGGATTAGTCCACTCACATTTAAATCACTTATTAAAAGGCAATATTTTAGGGACAAGCTTCTTCCAGATGGACAATGAATGTAAGACAACCTCCCATTGGATATATCTCACATCACAGCTCCAGGATACAGCAGAAGTTTCCACAGAGACCAAACATACACAGATCCCAAAAGATGGCTGCTTGGAACGCACCGCTCATATATGCGCTCCACTCAAACCGGAAGTGAATATATAGACGTACGGGGTAGCAATAATACGTAAATGCGTCAACGCTATAAAATTCTCCCATCGGGATGTTCTCCAAGACGTCCATATTAGGACCTGTCTGAAGCTCCCTTTTCATACCCTAACAGGGACCACCCCTCCGTTACAATTGGTCAAAACACATCCCCAGGATTATTAAAAAAACACTCCTCCTGTTATGTTGCCGTGAGAGTCCTTTACAAATGAGGCATATACCTACACAACTTAAAAACCTTTTTAAATTAAAAATATTCCCATCACCAATATTAATTTTATTCCCAGCAACAACATGTATATTACCACATGTCCATTAATGGGAAAAACATAATATATAAATATTTAATTTAATAAAAATTGCCTACATATTACAAAAAACATTCTTTATATTTAAATTGAGTAATGAATTGACATCACTGCTGAATAGTGATAAAAAATAAAAATAAATATAAAAATAATAATGGTTATAAAATAAAAATAAAGTTAGAATTAAATTAAAATAAAATAAAAATAAAAAATATATTATAAAATAAAAATAAAATAAAAAATAAAAAAAATAAAAAAATAATATATATAAAATAAAAATAAAAATAAAAAATATAAAAAATATAAAAATATAATAAAAAATAATAAATTAAAAATAAATATAAATATTACAAATAAAAATAAAAATAGAAATAAAAATAAAAATAAAGATTGAAAATTAAATAAAAATAAAATAAAAGTTAAAAATAAAAATAAAATAAAAATAAAAATAAAAATTAAAAAATAAAAAAAAAAAAAAAAAAAAAAAAAAAATAATAAATAAAAATAAAAATAAAAAAATAAAAAATAATAAAAATGAATATAAAAATAAAAAATTAAATACAATTTTTTAATTAATAAAAATAATCAAAAAAAAAACTATATGAAAATAAATATGAAATATATGAAAAAATCTATTTAGTAGTGATAAGACACACATAAAGAATTTTTATTGGAAAATAAAGTAATAGCATAGTTATTTTCCAATAAAAATTCTTTATGTGTGTCTTATCACTACTAAATAGATTTTTCATATATTTCATATGTATTTTCATATAGTTTTTTTGATTATTTGTATTAAATAAAAAATTGTTTTATTTTTATTTTTATATTCATTTTTATTATTTTTTATTTATTTATTTTTTTAGTTATTTTTAATTTTATCTTTATTTTTTTTTTTTTTTTTTTTATTTTATATTTGTATTTATTTTTATTTTTATTTATTTATTTTTTTTATATTTTTATATTTTTTTTTTTTTATTTTTATTTTTATTTTATTATATTTTTTTTTATTTTTTTATTTTTTATTTTATTTTTATTTTATAATATATTTTTTATTTTTATTTTTATTTTATTTTAATTTTTTTTTTAACTTTATTTTATTATTTTATAACATATACATGTTGTTGCTGGGAGAAAAATTAAGTGGTGATGGGAATAATTTAAAAAGGTTTTTAAGTTGTGTAGGTATATGCCTCATTTGTAAAGGACTCTCACGGCACATAACAGGAGGAGTGTTTTTTTGATAATCCTGGGGATGTGTTTTGACCAATTGTAACGGAGGGTGGGTCCCTGTTGGGTATGTAAGGGAGCTTCAGACAGGAAATGGACGTCTTGAGAACGCCCGATGGGAGGGGCGAAACGCGTTGACGCATTTCCGGTTGCTACCCCGTACGTCTGACGTCACTTCCGGTGAGTGGAGCGCATGCTGAGCGGATGCGTTCCAGCAGCCATCTTTTGGGATCTGTGTATGTTTGGTCTCTGTGGAACTTCTGCTGTATCCTGGAGCTGTGATGTGAGATTCCATGGGAGGTTGTCTTACATTCATTGTCCATCTGGAAGAAGCTTGTCCTAATAAATATGCCTTTTTAAAGTGATTTAAATGTGAGTGGCCTTAATCCTTGATTTTATTCATAAATGGTATTTTGCAATATTACACTATCTGAGATTTTTCTCTCCCCGGTTGTATGGTGGAGCCTACACTGAAGGTGAGGATTCCTATAGAGTGGATACGAAAGAGGGTTTAGGATCCCATATAAATTCCTAAAAGGCGTTTCATTCACCTAAATCTGGTGAGTGCATTTGATGTTGGTTTGCACGGGTGGAAGGTGGAAGTTTTTTTCTTTACATTAGAAGAAGAAATTTGAAAAAAAAAAAAATTTTTTGCACAAAATATTTTTTTGAGATTTCTGAACTTTTGTTGTCTATTAACCATGATGGACTTCACTATTAATATAATTTTTTATATATGTTTGCACTTTGTATATTGATTTGATTTAAAGGTCTATGTTTGCGCTGTTTATTTATATTTATCACAAAAGTGAATATTAGACTGTTCAAAAAAATAGCAGTGTTTGTATTCTTCTTTACAAACTCAAACATTCACTATATAAACTGAAAAATGTTTGAAGATTTTGCTTTCCTTTGAATCAATTAATATTTAGTTGTATAAGCACTGTTTCTGAGAACTGCTGTACATCTGTGTTGCATGGAGTCACCCAACTTCTGGCCCCTGTGAACAGGTATTCCAGCCCAGGATGATTGGACTACATTCCACAGTTCTTCTCTATTTCTTGGTTTTGCCTCAGAAACTGCATTTTTGATGTCACCCCACAAGTTTTCTATTGGATTAAGATCCGGGGATTGGGCTGGCCACTCCATAACGTCAATCTTGTTGGTCTGGAACCAAGATGTTGCACGTTTACTGGTGTGTTTGGGGTCGTTGTCTTGTTGGGAACACCCATTTCAAGGGCATTTCCTCTTCAGCATAAGGCAGCATGACCTCTTCAAGTATTCTGATGTATTCAAACTGATCCATGATCCCTGGTATGTGATAAATAGGCCCAACGCCGTAGTATGAGAAACATCCCCATATCATGATGCTTGCGCAACCATGCTTTACTGTCTTCACAGTGCACTGTGGCTTGAATTCAGTGTTTGGGGGTCGTCTGACAAACTGTCTCCGGCCACTAGACCCAAAAAGAACAATCTTACTTTCATCAGTCCACAAAATGTTGCGCCATTTCTCTTTAGGCCAGTCAATGTGCTCTTTGGCAAATTGTAACCTCTTCAGCACGTCTTTTTTTCAACAGTGGGACTTTGCGGGGGATTCTTGCAGATAGCTTGGCTTCACATAGGCGTCTTCTAATTGTAACAGTACTCACAGTACTTTAGACCTTCTTTGATCTTCCTGGAGCTGATTGTTGGCCGAGTCCTTGCCATTTTGGCTATTCTTCTATCCATTCGAATGGTAGTTTTTCGCTTTCTTCCACGTCTTTCAGGTTTTGGTTGCCATTTTAAAGCATTTGCAATCATTTTAGCTGAGCAGCCTATCATTTTCTGCACTTCTTTATATGTGTTCCCCTCTCCAATCAACTTTTTAATCAAGGTACGCTGTTCTTCTGAACAATGTCTGGAACGACCCATTTTCCTCAGAATTTCAGAGAGAAATGCACTGTAACCAGCATGTACAACATTTGCTGCCTTCCTTCCTTCCTTAAATAAGGGCAATAATTGCCACCTGTTTTTCAAAGAATGAATGACCTCACTAATAGAACTCCACACTGCTATTATTTTGAACATGCCCCTTTCAATTAGTGATTCAATTACACAGAATCAGCAGCATGCTTGTCATGATTGTTGGGTCTGTTGGATTTCTATTACTCTACTACATCTGCTAGTAAATTATTTGCAATGTAGAAATATCATTTCTACCAAAAACAGTGATTGTTCAGGTTAGTGATGTCTGACTGCTATTATTTTGAACACAGCTGTACATGCACATTTAAGTATGATGTGGGTTCCCAGGGAGTAGTTTGCGCCTTCCTAGGTGATTCTTCCATCTATTAGGAAACCAGAACTACTCCCTGGGAACCCACTTCATGCTTTAATGTGCACATATGTGTTTGTATCACTGGGAGAGGAGAAAGTTTATTAGAGGAGAGGATAGTGTATGCTGGAAAGATTTCCCAAAGACGATGGAGAGGAATCAAGAAAAGAAAAGACTGCCCCTCCCTAAGCTATCCTCCCCTCTGCTTCCCATTTGTATTTGTATTTGCATTTGTTATTGTTTGTAAACACACACGGTTCATGCCATTCTTGCTGAACCACTTGTCCTCCTGAGGATTTACCCCCCTTCTTGACTAGGCCATTTTTTGCTTTTGGCGCCACGTTACTTTAACGCTCATGCAATGCTGCACCCAAATTAAATTTACGTCCTTTTTTCCCCACAAAATTAGTTTTCTTTCAATGGTATTTGATTACGTGTGTGTTTTTAATTTTTTGCGCTATGAAAGAAAAAAAAGACCAACAATTTTGAGAAAAATACAACATTTTTGACTTTTTGCTATTAAACATGTCCAGTAAAAAAATTTTAAAAATCGAATTTCATTATAAATTTAAATCAAAATGTATTCTGCTACAGATCTTTGCAAAAAAAAAATCCCAATACGTTTAAATTAATTGGTTTATGTGAAAGTTATAGCGTTTACAAATGGCGGTATAGATATTTTTTTTTACTAGTAATGGCGGCGATCAGTGACTTATAGCAGGACTGTATGACTTCAGCGGGCATTATAACAGTGGGGGAAACTGACTTGGTGTCACTGACATCCCCAGTGACACCAATACAGTGATCAGTGCTGAAAAAAGCACTGACACTGTACTAATGGCACTGGGCAGGAAGGGGTTAACATAAGGAGCAATCAAAGGTTAATTGTGCGCAGGGAGTGTTTTACATAGGGGGCAGTGTGTTGGTGCTTCACTGTAATCACACTGCTCTGGATGGCTGTGCTGTGCACAACCATTCAGAGCAGTGTGACCGAGCCAACAGGGATGAGGACTGTTAGTAAACAAAGCAGTCCTCCTCCCCGTCGGAGATGCTTGATAATCACCAGGCGCCAGCGAATAATCACCAGCCAGGGCCCGGTGATTGACAGCTGTGGCCACGAATGGCGGTGCAGGTATGGCGTTCACGTGTGCCCCCTACCCGGAAAAACTAAATCACATATATATTATAATATATATATATATATATATATATATATATATATATATATGCTATAGGGCTTTCGGGCTGCGGTTAAAGAATTCCAGGTATGGATTTTTATATACAGTATCTCACAGAAGTGAGTACACCCCTCACATTTTTGTAAATATTTTATTCTATCTTTTCATGTGACAACAATGAAGAAATGACACTTTGCTACAATGTAAAGTAGTGAGTGTACAGCTTGTATAACAGTGTAAATTTGCTGTCCCCTCAAAATAACTCAACACCCAGCCATTAATGTCTAAACCGCTGGCAACAAAAGTGAGTACACCCCTAAGTGAAAATGTCCAAATTGAGCCCAAAGTGTCAATATTTTGTGTGGCCACCATTATTTTCCAGCACTGCCTTAACCCTCTTGGGCATGGAGTTCACCAGAGCTTCACAGGTTACCACTGGAGTCCTCTTCCACTCCTCCATGATGACATCACAGAGTCCTTGCAATCCTCCACCTTCCATTTGAGGATGCCCCACAGATGCTCAATAGGGTTTAGGTCTGGAGACATGCTTGGCCAGTCATCACCTTTACCCTCAGCTTCTTTAGCAAGGCAGTGGTCATCTTGGAAGTGTGTTTGGGGTCATTATCATGTTCGAATACTGTCCTGCGGCCCAGTTTCCGAAGGGAGGGGATCATGCTCTGCTTCATTATGTCACAGTATATGTTGGCATTCATGGTTCCCTCAATGAACTGTAGCTCCCCAGTGCCGGCAGCACTCATGCAGCCCCAGACCATGACACTCCCACCACCATGCTTGACTGTAGGCAAGACACACTTGTCTTTGTACACCTCACCTGGTTGCCGCCACACACGCATGACACCATCTGAACCAAATCAGTTTATCCTGGTTCCAGTAATCCATTTCCTTAGTCTGCTTGTCTTCAGCAAACTGTTTGCGGGCTTTTTTTGTGCATCATCTTTAGAAGAGGCTTCCTTCTGGGATGACAGCCATGCAGACCAATTTGATGCAGTGTGCGGCATACGGTCTGAGCACTGACAGGCTGACCCCCCACCCCTTCATCCTATGCAGCAATGCTGGCAGCACTCATACGTCAATTTCCCAAAGACAACCTCTGTATATGACGCTGAGCACGTGCACTCAACTTCTTTGGTCGACCATGGCGAGGCCTGTTAAACCGCTGTATATTCTTGGACACTGTGCTGCAGCTCAGTTTCAGGGTCTTGGCAATCTTCTTATAGCCTAGGCCATCTTTATGTAGCGGAACAATTCTTTTTTTCAGATCCTCAGAGAGTACTTATAACCATAAAGCTCTGTTTTGGTCTTGTCACTCCAGATTAAAGTGTGCCAGAAGCTGTGAGGCATGTCAAGGTGTTGTCAGGAATATTGCAACTGGACTTTTTTGTGACATTGGTGCAGTAAAGGCTTCTTTCTGGCAACTCAACCATGCAGCTCATTTTTATTCAAACATCAATGTATCAGGCTCCTTAAAACAATCACACTGTTTTTTTTCCAGAGCAGCCTGTATTTCTCCAGAGGTTACCTATAGGTTTTTCTTTGTATCCCGAACAATGCTGCTGACAGTTATAGCTGCAATCTTTCCTGGTCTCCCTGACCTTGGCTTGGTATCAAGAGATCTCCAAATTTTTTACTTCTTAATAAGTGAACAGTACTGACTGGCATATTCCAGGCTTTGGATATCTTTTCATATCCTTTTCCATCTTTAAAAAGTTCCATTACTTTGTTATGCAGGTCTTTTGACCGTTCTTTTCTGCTTCCCATGGCTCAGTATCTAGCCTACTCAGTGCATTCATGTGAGAGCTAACAAACTCATTGACTATTAATACATAGACACTAATTACAATGTAAAAGTCCTCAAATGTTGGATTTAACCTTTAACCTCTCAGTTCTGGATGGTTTTACCCCCTTCATGACCAGGCCATTTGTTTTGCAATTTAGGACTATGCTACTTTAACTGGTAATTGTGATGTCATGTAATGGTGTACACAAACAAATCTACAAACTATGGTATACAGTATATAATGGAATGGCAATTTATGTATTTATTTAAACTTTTAATGGCGGTGATCAATGACGATCAATGACGTATAGTGGAACTGTGATAGTGCAGCGGGCAATCTGACACTGGGTGATAACTCACTAACAGCCACTCACATCACCAGTGACATTAATACAGTGATCAGTGATACACTGTCACTGTACTAATGGCACTGGCTGGGGTGGGGTTAACATCTTGGGTAATCAAGGGGTTAAATATGTGCCTAACAAGTGTTAATTTATGTAATGTGTGCTTCATTTTACTATATATCTGTTTTTCTCCCTGTTTTGCATGGGGAAGAAATAGATTGGTTGTTCCCTCTGTACGTAGCTCTGTCTTGATTGTCAACATAGGGCACTGGGCAGTGATTGGACACAGACAATCAGCAGGCCTTGAATCATTGGCTGGGACCAGCTGATAAACCCACATTGTGTTCAATCAGAGTGGGAGTTGACTGGCAGGGGCTCACACGCATGCCCTGTACCCGCTAGCAACGTACTCTAAAAAAAAAATAAAAAGTTTGAAAAAAAAAGTAGTATAATTTTTTTGTTCTTTTATATACTGTCACCAGTCAGTATCCCTGATCACCACCACACCAGTCAAATGATGACGCTGTACTGCACAGGTGACAGTATGTACAATAGAAAAACTGTAAAAAAAAAATGTATTTAATTTCTTAATTTTCTGTAAATTTGTGACGAAAGGCTATAACGTCGAAAAACTTGCAATGCCTCTTACTAAATACCTTGGACTGTCTATGTTCCAAAAAGGGGTAATTTGGGGGTTATGTGTACTGTCCTGGCATTTTAGAACCTCAAGAAATGAGATGAGGCCTTCTGTTCAACAGGATTGATCAATTTTCAAATGAATCCCATTGTTTTTTAGACTTTATAACTTTCACACAGACTAAATAATATACTCTGATTTTGGTTATTTTTACCAAAGAAATGTAGCAGTATACATTTTGGCCTAAATTTATGAAGAAAGATTTTTTTTTTAATGTTATAACAACAACTAAGGAAGGCATGTTTTCCTTTTCAAACGTTTTGGTATTTTTTCATTTATATATCAAGAAATTAAAAACCCAGTGGTGACTAAATACCACCAAAGGAAAGTTCTATTTATGTGAAAAAAAAAAATTATAAAAAATTTAAGGTGGGTACAGTGTTGCATGACTGAGCAACTACCAGTTAAAGTAGCACAGTGGTGAATAGCAAAGAAATGCTCTGGTCATTAAGGGGGTCAAGTGGTTAAACTGCAAATTAATTTGGGTTGTGATCTATGTGAAACAATGTATTAGCAATGTATCATGCTCTTTTCAAGTGAACCTGGCATTGGTGTTATACAAACTTTGAATATGCTATGCTTGTGCCACGAAAATCTAATCTAATTATGTGCGACCTCTTTGGTACATTGATTGAGAAGAACATCCACAAAGCTGGTGTTGGTGAAAACACAATTGACTTCTAAATAATGTGCAGATTTTCATGCAAATGCATCTGTCACTTTATAGGAATTTCAAACGGTGTTTACTGTCATGGAAAGTCTCCTTACATCTCAGTCGTTGGTTTATCTGATCCCAGTGTTCCAAAACGAATTTAAATTTGGATGAAAGATGAATTTGGCACTTTGTGTGCAAAGATAAACTTTCCCCTTGAGTTTTATGTAACATTACACTTACTTTAAAGTTCTTTTTTTGATTTTGTTTGAAGATCTGACTTACTTGAAGGTACCCTGGAGATCTCCAATCTCTGGCTCCTGCTGCATGTACTTTTTGGAATTACTGTACATGTCAGGCCTTTTGTTTTCCATGGGGATCTTCTGACACCATGCAATGTTGAGTAGAGGGAGGGAGTGAGGAGAGATGACTGGAAGAGTACTCTATAGTTGAAGATCTTTACAGTGGGGGTTAGATTATGGGGAAGCAAACATAACTTTTAATTCAATTTTTCAAAATCTAATTTAAAGTGTTACTAAACCCACAACAGTACAATCAGTCTGTATATGCAGTAAAGCATGCTTGTTATACTCACTGTGGAACCTAAGAGGTTAATCCTCTGCATTGTGTAAAAAAGCTGTTTGATCCTTTCTTCTCTGTTCCTCCCCTTCTTCAAGCGACCACTTCTTATTTCCAGACTGAACCATAGGAATGCACACGCTCAGTTTGGTTTGTATTGCTAGACAGGATTTTTTTTTCTTGGGAGGATGCATGTGATCAGCAGAGGGCCAGTCAGCACTGTCCAGACAGAGATCAGGGGATTTTCATCCATCTAGTGCAGAAAGAAAACTCCTACAAGCTTTAGCTAGTGCTCTGCTGGACACTGATAGAAGTCACAAGACTGCTCTACCCGCTGATGAGAAAAGGTATTTAGCAGTTTATATTTACTAAAATAATTGCATTTCCATGTTGTGTGTACTGTGGGAGACCAGATGTAGTGAATACAGGGTCCTGGGTTTAGTAACACTTTAATGTGATTATAAAGGCTTAAATAATAATAAAAATAAAAATAACAAACATGTCTATACTTACCTGCTCTGCAGTGGTTTTGCACAGAGCAGCCTGGATCCTCCTCTTCTTGGGTCTTTGACTGGCGCTTCTGGCCTCTCCTCCTGTCAGGTGCCCACACAGAATGTAGGTTGCTATGGGGGCACCCGCTGCTCCATGTGTCCATTCACACACAAAGGCTTTGCTCAGAACCGCCCCCTCTCTCTTCTCATTGGCTTACTGGCTAGTAATGGCTCCCGCTGCTGTCTCAGCCAATGAGGAAAGGGAGTCCCAGGTTAGCCGAGACTCCAGTGCAGATCGCTGGATCGAGAGGGGGCTTAGGTGAGTATTAGGGTGTCTGAGGGCGATGCTGCACAGAGAAGGTTTTTTACCTTTACGCATAGAATGCATGAAGGCAAAAACCTTGAGCCTTTACAATCACTTTAAAGTGTAAGTTCACCTTTACACAAAACTTGAAAAACTAGTGTGTGAAGGTGTGTGAACTAATATACTGCACCCTCCCCACCCGCCTGTTCCTTGCTGAATTTACCTTCATGGGTGATTAGCTTTTAGTACCCACATGGACAGTGCAGCGGTTTCTTGATTTAAAAAACGCAGTCTTCTTATTCTTCTTTCCTTAGGATGCCAGGACAGATCAGAGTGATTCTGATTGTTCAAAGTGGTCATGTGCTGGTACTGACCAATCAAAATATCTCTGATCCATCCTGGAGGAAATAAAGGGAAGAAGACAACAGCTTTCAAAACTCTGGACACCAGTGTATAGGCAGTGAATGCTAATCATCCACCGAGGTAAATGCCACAAAGACTAGCAGGATGGGGAGGGTCTAGTGTGTTAGTTAATTTTTTGTGAAAAGGTGAGCTTACACTTTAACCACTTGACTTCTGGAAGGTTTTACCCATAACCAGGACATTTTTTGCTATTCATTCTGTGCTACTTTAACTGGCAATTTATATCAATAAATACCAGTGCAAACCCACATAATAAATTGCATCACCCAACCTATTAAATTAATAATAAATAAATAACAAACTTTAGAAACTGTGACACAAAACCACTTTTGTGTTAGTGAAATAATAAAGAAAGAAAGAAAGAAATAAATAATTTTAAAATTAATAAGTCCAGTGACAAATAAATCCCAAAATAGCAGTCCCGTGACAAAATTAATTATATTGTAGTTATATTGTAATTTTCATTGGATTCTTCCGTGCCTTTGACCCCTTCACCATCCACCAGTGCAAAACCAACAATAACCGCACTCACCAGATAATGGTGAGTCAAACGCCTTTCAGGGATATTAAGGGCTCCTGGACCCCCTTTGCTTTATATAAGACCTCCAAATAATGCCTCCTCTCGGATATGGATACCTCTTCTGGTTACTCCTCTCACCGAATCCCCCAAGGAAAATCAGGAAGAAGAAAAAACCATAGTGTGATACCGTAGTGGTTTCTCATCAAAAGAATCTCTCCAGACCACTCACATTTTAGCAGGATATAACCCGCATTTTATTGAAACAAAAACGATCTTTCCTTAAAAAACGATCCACTTTTCATGTACAGCGACTTTTGTATAAAGACCCCACAGCCTAGTATACAGCAGGATGGCAGACCTCAGATGCAGACTCATCCACTATGCAAAAAATGGCCCCTTGGAACGCACCGCTCGGCATGCGTTCCACTCACCGGAAATGACGTCAGACGCCGGAACAGGCAATCGGAAGTGCGTCAACGCGTTTCGCCCCACCCACAGGGCGTTATCAAGATGCTCTTTTCCTCTGCCAAGCCGCTTATAAAGCAGTGGGAGATCCCTCCCACTAATTACTCTGGACACAAAAACTATCCATCACCGCCATCCCTCTGTATACCCATGTGGGATCCCCTTACAACAAAGACAAATGCATTTTATTAAAAACCATACTTTTATCCATAACCTTATGTCTTCTACCCCTATACATAAAGGTAGAGACAGGGAATTACGATACATTAATTATTAAAATAAAATGTGAAATAGAAATAAAAAATATACAAATAAATGAAATAAATAAAATAAAATAAAAATAAAAATATAAAAATAAATAAAATAAAAATAAAAATAAAATAAAAATAAAAATATAGAATTTAAAAAAAAAAAAAAAACATTTTATTTTTTTTTTTTAATAATTAATTTCGTAATTTTATTACCTTTATAGGGGTAGAAGACATAAGGTTATTTTATGGTTTTTATTTTTGTCTTTGTTGTAAGGGGATCCCATTATACATTTATGGCGTGATATAGTTTTTATTTCTAATTAGTGGGAGGGATCACATTTTATTTTAATAATTAATGTATCGTAATTCCCTGTCTCTACCTTTATGTATAGGGGTAGAAGACATTTCCGGTTATGGATAAAAGTATGGTTTTTAATAAAATGCATTTTGTCTTTGTTGTAAGGGGATCCCACATGGGTATACAGAGGGATGGCGGTCACGGGACTGATTTTGGGATTTTTTTGTGTCCAGAGTAATTAAAATTATTGGGAGGGATCTCCCACTGCTTCATAAGTGGGCTTTGGCAGAGTTTCTAAAAGTTTGTTATTTATTTATTATTAATTTAATAGGAGTGGGTGATGCAATTTATTATGTGGTGGGGCGAAACGCGGTGACGCACTTCCGGTTTTTGCCTGTTCCGGCGTCTGACGTCATTTCCGGTGAGTGGAACGCACGCCGAGCGGTGCGTTCCAAGGGGCCATTTTTTGCATAGTGGATGATGTCTGCATCTGAGGTCTGCCATCCTGCTGTTTACTAGGCTGTGGGGTCTTTATACAAAAGTCGCTGTTATGAAACATATCCAATTAAAAAAAATCTAATTATGTGATAAATTGGTCAAAATGTATTCTACTAATGTCTTTGGTAAAACAAAATCAGATGTATATTTTATTGTTTGTGTGAAAGCTTTCTAAAAACTATGGTATACGTTTTTGGAATTTATGCAGCTTTATACATACTGATCAAAATGTGGTGTGATCTGGAGAGCATTCTTTTGATGAGAAACCACTACGGTATCACACTATGGTTTTTTCTTCTTCCTGATTTTCCTTGGGGGATTCCCTTCCTGACCATTTGCTTTCCAGGCCATTTTTTGCATTACTGCGCTGCATTACTTTAACTGACAATTGCGTGGTCATGCAATGCTGCACCCAAATTAAATTTCTGTCCGTTTTTTCCCAATGAAGAGAGCTTTCTTTTGGTGGTATTTGATCGCCTGTGTGTTTTTTTTTTGTGCTAAAAAAAAAAGACAGACAATTTTGAGGAAAAAACAATATTTTTTACTTTCTGCTATTAAACATGTCCAGCAAAAAAAAAATCTATCATAAATTTAGGCCAAAATGCATTCTGTCTTTTCTAAATAAAAATCCCATTACGTGTAAATTAATCGGTTTGTGTGAAAGTTAAAGCATTTACAAATGGCGGTATAGATACTGGGATTTTTTCTTTTTACTAGTAATGGCGGCAATCAGCGACTTATAGCGGAACTGCGGCTGGTATTCTGACACTAGGGGAAACTGACTTGGGGTCACTGACTTCCCGAGTGACACCAATACAGTGATCAGTGCTAATAAAAAGCACTGACACTGTACTAATGGGGGAAAACTGACTTAGGGTCACTGACTTCCCCAGTGACACCAATACAGTGATCAGTGCTAATAAAAAGCACTGACACTGTACTAATGGCACTGGGCAGGAAGGGGATAACATCTGGGGAGATCAAAGGGTTAAATGTGTGCTGTTTTACTATGGGGGCTGTGTGTGTGCTTCACTGTAAGCACTCTGCTTTGTATGGCTCTGCTATGCAGAACCATACAAAGCAGTGTGCAGGAGCTGACAGGGGAGAGATCTGTATTGTTTATAAACGGGCCTCTCCCCTGTTGGAGACACTTGGCGATCACCGGATGCCGTCGAGAAATCACCATCTGGGACCCTGTGATTGACAGCTGAGGCCGCGTAGGGCCCCCTATCCAGAACTGCAAAATCGCGTATATATACGTGACTTTGCGCACATGTGCCGCCCTGTAGCAGTATATCTGCTATAGGGCGGCGCGGAAGCAGTTAACTCTCAGATCTGCCTGTGTTTGTAAACAGAAGACTTTGTGCTGTGATTGGACACAGCCAATTAGCAATTTTGGCTGAAACCTGTTGACAAACTCATGCTGTTTCCAATCATAGCATGGGTCAGCAGGGGGTGTGTGCGCATGCATGCCCGAAACCCAGAAGAGAGATACACATTTCCGTTGCCAAGCCTGCACATGCCGCCTATTTGCAGTAAATGTACTGTGAGCAGACGGCAAGTGGTTAACGCACACCTTTTGTAACTTGTCAAGTCTACATTAATACATCCCTAGCATATCACAATATTCAGCAACAGTATGATTTCTCATTAAAAGCTGTACCTGTAATCAGTAAAAAAGCAGATCTTAAGTTCCAGTTAAAGCGCAGCTCCACCCAAAAGGTGAAGTTCCGTTTTCAGCCTTTGTTCCCTGCCCCCCATTAAGGATTGGCACCTCTGTGGAGCGGGTGCCTGAATTTAACAGGTACCCACTTCCGCTGCGGTCGCCTAGGCGATCAGAAGCGGAAGTTGTCCTCCCCCTCCCTCCCCATAGTCTTCTGAGACACATGACATGTCCCAGAAGACTACGGAGCCAGTCCACAAAGTGCAGCGCTTCTCACACATGCGCAGTGGGCACCCGGCTGTTAAGCCACAAGCTGTGACAGCCGGGTGCCCACACTGAAGATGCCAGCGCCAGGAGAGGAGATGGATGGTGAAACCAGTGGTGGTGAGGAGGACACCACTGGCCACGGGACAGGTAAGTGGCTGTATTTTAAAAATCAGTAGCTACAGTTTTTGTAGCTGCTGACTTTTTTTTTTTTTTTTTGCTCAGGTGGAACTCTGCTTTAAGTGACTTTGTTCACTAAGTTCATAGCGAGTCCACCATGAGGAGTATAACTTGCAGTGCTGTCCACAATGCAGTGAGAGCAAGCACGATGCACCATTCAGGGGTGTAGAAGCATCATCAGAGAAAGGAGCACTGCCCACCGACCCAGTGCATGAATATGTGTGAGGTGGCCTCAGCTTGTGCCTCTCCAGCCACGCCACACACACCGGGGCTTGGTCACAAGGTCGGGAAAAAACGGGTTTATAGAGCATCAAACCGTAAACAATGCAAGTGTTTGTGATGCATATTGTGAAAATGGTGGTGTGGAAGTAGTGAAGAAGGGAAGAAAAAAAGAGGAATCATAAAAAAAAAAAAAAAAAAAAATCGTGATGAAAAAGTGAAAATAAGAATGGAGTGAAAAAAGTGACACAACGGGCGATAAAAATAAACATGAAAAGGGAAAGATGTGATGTGATATAGATTTTATATTTATGAAAATATATGTAAGAAATAAAAAATGAAAGAAATATAAAAAATGAAAGGAATAATAACAAGAAAGGTATATATATATATATATATATATATATATATATATAAAAAAAAGAACAAATCTGTTGTCCTCATCAGGGAATCATGTAGGTTAGCAGACAAGGAAAAAAGTCCCTATAGTCCCAATAGGTATATATTCCATGATGAAAGAAAGGGAGGAAAAAGAAGGAAAGGAAAGGGGGAAAAGAGAGGAAGGAAAAGAAGTGGGGGGATAGGGAAAGAGGGGGAGGTGGGGGGGGGGGAGTGCAGGAGGAGGGGAAAAGGGGAAGGAGAGAAAAGAAGATATAGTGGAGAGGGGATATCACTCATAATAATTAGTAACGTCCCACTCATAATTTAATCCCTTTGGAATACATGTGTCCAATTTGAATATCCAATGTACAAGGGGCGTTCAAGTCGAACCGGGACTTTTGAGTTTATATAAAAAAAAGGAGTAGAAACTGCATTTATTTTTCTACATACTCCCCTGCTTTATTTAACTAATGCCTGGCATAGAAAGATTTGTCAGTATGCCTGAACCATCCTAGGACAGTTTGCTTCACTTCGTCAACATTGTGTTCATCATTCCCACAGAAAGATGCATCTATTGTGCAATTCAATGACAGGTTATGTGTCGATTATCCAGGATCAGGCGTTCTACACGCTGAATGTTCACAGGAATGACTGTTGTAGGCAGGAAACCACCATGGCCAGAATCGTCATTGATGGACGGCCTTTGAAATGTTTACACCAAATGTCTTACTGCGGCTGAGCGTCTTATCCCCGTACTGTGCTTGAAGTCTTCTGTAGATATCCATGGGTTATATGCCTTCATTCACAAGAAACACTGTTGTCTGCCATCTTGATTAACGGTCTCTGGACTGGCTCGCAACATGTGCGCCGCTTATCAGTAATAGGACACACTTACCACTTACTACTGTGTGTAGTACCGCCACGCTAGCATCCCTTTTTAGATCTGTACAATTAAAAGTCCTGGTTTGACTTGAACACCCCTTGTACTTCTCTTTTGCAGAGCAGAGAAAAACAATTACCCCCCTAGCAGGGGTGTCCATACATCCTATGACTTGAACTTTGAGCCCTGGTTCACACTGATGCGGTGTTGAATCCGCAGTGTTTTCAGTGCAAATTCTGCACCGAATCACAATCTCACCCCGTTCATCTGAACCGCTGTGGGTGTGTATGTTAAGTTAACAACGCTCCGAAAGCGGTCTGCAAAACACGGTGCGAAGTGCAGAATTGGATCACATAGGTAGGTGTGAATTCCCATGCGATCTGATTCTAGTGCGGACCCAAAAAAGGGTCCTGCACGTTTTTGGTGCGGTGCGATTAGAGCCATACAAAATGTATGGCTCCGATTGCACAGCACACAAATTGCATGGGATTCGCACAGTAATGCAGTGCGGTTCCTGTGCGAATCACATGCGATATACCGCACCGCACATGTGTGAATCCAGGCTGAGGGAACTAGTGTCCAAACCATGCCGGAATCTGAAATGTCTAGTAACATTAGTATTTTTTTTTTGCATTTATCTTGGATATGTGGTCCCATATTTTGGAGGCGTTTTTTTGTAAGTCCCACATACCGAATATTACATGTTGTACAGGTGATAACATATTACATAACATGTCTGGCAATTGACTAATTGTCTGATGTTGTATTCAGTATTGTTTGCACAAGAGATAACCATATGAGGATCATCAATATACATCGTGTTCCAAATTATTATGCAAATTCTATTTAAGTTTCACAAAGATTAAATATTTTGTTTTTCAGTTTAACTCATGGATGGCATTTTGTGTCAGGGCTCTTTTGATCACTGAAAACAATCTCGGACACCTGTCATAATTAGATTGGCCGGTGAGCCCAATTTAAGGAAAAACTACTAAAGGAGAGTGTTCCACATTATTAAACAGAGCTGCTCGGCCCCTTTAGGGTCCCCGAAGGTGTAAAGATGACCTCTGCAAAGTATGTGGAGTTTATGGCTGACCACTTTCTTCCCTGGTACAGAAGGAAGAACTATGCTTTCTGTAATAAAATCATCTTCATGCATGACAATGTACCATCTCATGCTGCAAAGAATACCTCTGCATTAATGGCTGTTATGGGGATAAAAAGAGAGAAAGTCATGGTGTGGCCTTCATCCTCTCCTGACCTCAATCCTATTGGGAACCTTTGGAGAATCCTCAAGCAAAAGATCTATGAGGGTGGGAGGCAGTTTACATCCAAACAGCAGCTCTGGGAGGCTATTCTGACATCTTGCAAACAAATTCAAGCAGAAACTGTCCAAAAACTCACAAGTTCAATGGATGCAAAACTTGTGAAGCTGCTATCAAATAAGGGTCCTATGTTACAATGTAACCTGACCTGTTAAAATATTTAAAAAGTTAAAATGTTGTTAAAAGTTTGAATGAAATAGCTTTTGATTTCAGTAAATATGCTGCAAACACAACAAATAACAGTTTTTTTAGTTCTTTACAACCTAGAAAGTGTTTTGAAACTTACTGTGCGTAATAATTTGGAACAGTGCATTGGAAGTGTTTTATGTTTTAAAAAAATCCTGTTATCATTAGGAGGTTTGTTCAATAAAATGTGAATTGTACTCTTAATAGTTGATAACATGAGAATTATGCTGACTTTTATTTACATCAATTATTTAGGTAAATGAGAAAAATATAATTTGCATAATAATTTGGAACAGGGTGTAATGACAATTCAAGCAACGGGTAGCATTACACTTGAAAAAGCCTGTGGTATGCAGCCAGGTATGCATGGGTTGTCTAGAAGTAAACCTGCTAGGAGAGACAAGATTGCCTAATGTTCGAGCCGTCCTGGCTACAAACTTGACTCCTTTCGATAGAATGGTCTTAAATTGACGATCTACATAAAGGATGGGTAGGTGCTGAGAAAGATAATAACAGCTTTTTGAGCTTGTTTGATTGCATTCTTATTGTAGCCACGTTCGTGGAACATCACTTCCATATCTTTGGCTTCCCTCTCAAAATCTGCAGGTGCAGAACAATGCCACCATGAGAGGCTACATCAGGGGTTGATCAGTGTTAGATATTTGTAAACACAGTCAAGAACTACACAGGCACACAGATTTACACGACTGTGTCAACTCTAAGTTCTCAGGACGTAAATGCTGGCCTTGGGTAATGTCTAAACAAAAATGTAGCTGTTCTTCTGGAGGGAAAAGTAAATGAAGGCCCCATATACACAGGACACTTCTGAACGATGGAAACTGCCTGCTGGAAAACGTAGGTTAAAAACCGTCTGTTTAGCAGCATTTGCATACCGCGTTTATGTGCGTTTGCATTTAGAAGCTTTTTATTAAGATAACCTCCAGGGACCTTCCAAAATGCCTAGAATGCAC